ACGGCCTGGGACAGATAACCCGGCGTTTCCACCGAGACTTTACCTTCAAACCTCAGCTCAGATCAAAATCGGAAACGAGCACGAGCGAGGCGTGGGCCGGCCGGGGCAGCGGGCGGTGTCTCGGACGCAGACCCGCCTGGAAGGGGCGGCCATTTCACAGTCCCGAAACAAGTGGCCTCTGCGCTCCAGGCGCCCCGCTGAGCCCGCCTGCAAGGAGGCCAGGGGAGCCCTGCTCCCCACAGCCCGCACCCGCAGGGGTCCCCGCGCAGATGTCACCCTCTGCGGGGGGCCACAGCCAGCCCCCAGTGGGCGCAGAGACCCAACTGCCGGCACAGATGCCTGCGCCCGCCGGGCCCAGCCGCCGCTGCCAGCGTAACACTGGGAATCACAACCCGGCTGGGCCGGGAAACAGGCGGGGTCCTGAGCACCAGGCCACCAGGCACGGCAGGAGCTCCCCAGCCCAGGCCCAGGCCCCCTTGGGTGTCTGCAGCCCCCAGAGCCCCCGAGCAGATGGGGGCTGAAGCCTCATGCCTGGCCTTCCTGTAGCCTCAGAGTAACCTGCTTAGAACCAAATAAATAAAAAACAATGAATCGAAACAAAGAACTGAGAAGAGGCCTCAAGTGGCTGGCCCCACCCCAGCCGGGGGCCTCTCCCGACCGCCTCTCTTATTCGGTCAACACGAGAGAATCTTCACGAAACGCTTTTGCCTTAAAAGCCCAAAATGCAAAATAACATATAATTTTGTGATCTTTCATTTAACTCAATAATTGTTTCCATACTCCCCGGCTCTCTGGCCAGTGTCCAGCGTTTTGATTATTAGCGGGTGAAACGAGGGCTTTTCCCTCTCCGCTGCCGTCCAGCTGTCACTCTGCGGCGGGCATTGCCCCAGGGCCAGGCCTGCTAGCTGCTCACTACTGAGCTGTGAGCTCAGGGCGCGGCCTTTCGGGGTCTGTCCTGGGTGCAGCCCCCCGCTGCCTGCCGGGGCCCTTCTGCGGGCAGTGACAGCGGCCTGGGCGTGCAGGGCGAAGCCACCGTGAGCGCAGGAGCACAGCGGTCCCCGCACAAACGCAGCGTC